GGTTGAAATGCATGAGTGTTAACTTCTAAATAGTTAAACTGATGCTATTTGATTATATTCTTTTGCCTCATTCAGAACAGATTTTATTCACAGTCCATCCAAGTAAAACCTTCCAATAAAAGTCTTAGGAGAGTTCACTAAATGTTTAGTATAATCTTCTATTATTATTCAGCTGGTTTCTTCACTTTCATAATGGTAGCCATTACTGTGTAGATAAGTGGGTGGAAAGGCAGCTGCCGTATTGATTCTGTAAGTCTTGATTTGGAGATGATAGATTCATGTCATTTTTATTTTTCCTGAACTACTGTAGCAGCGCTGTGTAAAGTGTAAGCCTAGATGTGCTTTCCATCCTCCATAGTGTCTGTTTTCCAGCCCTGCTCTATTTTGTTGATTATTAGATAGCCTTTCTGTCTGTTAGTTGAAATGCTCCACATTCTTGGAGAAAACTTGTATTTGATCTGAATAAATGTTAGAAGACTCAGCCAAAGTTGTTTCCTACCAGCCAGTTACTTTCAGTGAACAAACCAGAAGTCATTTCTTGCTGAATTTAGACGACTGTCATTTATTTCTGAAGTACGAGAGCTCCCAGCCATGATTTATCCTTTGGACTAATGTATGCTTAGTCTGCTGTAGGATTAAAATTGAAAAGCTCTGTCTGTTCAGTAAGGCCCATTAATCAGTGGTGGAGACTTAACAACCTACTTGAGGAAGGCTGTGTGCCATTATCTCTGAAGGAAGCCGTTAACCTCTTAATCCAAATGCTGCTTCATATGTGCCAGATCATCAAGCTGTTAGGTTATATCTGCTCTTCCAGTTTTGGTAAAACCACAGAAGAGCTTTGATGGAAAACATCTGAGTAACTTGGATGCTTTGAATCCTCTAGACCCCATCTTTCTGTATGTAGCCTTGGGCAGAGGACAGAAACGAGATTAGTGATGTTTCAGAGCAAAGATCAAGTGACCTCTGCTGTGTCCAGAAGGCCCAACTTAGGCAAACAGATGGGCCAGGAAGGACTGCAGATACTTACTCTGAGCCACGTTCTCTCATTTACCTTTGCAGCTCATTTACCTTTACAACTCTTGCTCCTACTTTGCATTTCTCATGTCCACTTTTTTCTGTGTTGTACCCGCCTGTGGCAAGCCCAAAGCCATCTGCATTGGATGCTGTTGAGCACTTAACAACTGAAAGGGATGTCAGTGATATTGCACATGTCTTGCTATTGGTGTAGGAAGAGACTGAATCTGGAGCTTTGGCCATGGCACTGGGAAGCAGACAGCCCGAAAATAAAACTTACTGTTTTAAGTTCTTATAAATAAGTTCAAATAAAGTTCTTACTGTAGTCTGTGTTCTTGATGTGTCTTGTAATGTTCGATGCATTGCTACTTTTAAGTGTTCCCCATAGGCAAAATTAGGTCAGTATTAATTCAGTTACATTATAGAATTGCTTGTCTTTCTGTGAGACTTTAATAAGTAAGTGTCTTTTCGAGTGGTTTATTCTATGAATTTTACTGACTGTTTAAAATGAGGCTGTAGTTACCAAATTAGACACGAGCACCTACTACTGCTAGAAATACTGAAAATACTGCCTTTCCAGTCACTTCATTTGTGGAATTTTGGTGGTGTCCTTTTTCACAGAAGTAGTGGAAGTAATTTGTATTTGTTACTGTCAGTGATTGTCGTACTGGAATAACTGCAAATTGCATAATCAATATAGAATTAGCACTAGAGTCAAGTAAGATGCAGGCCAGTATTTTAAATGGAGACGAAAAAATACTGATTTTTAGTTAGAAAAGCTGCTTTGGGGAGTATCTGGTGTATTCTTGCATTTTCCCCTTAAATTACTGATATAATTATGCTTCATTGAAGTCTAAATTTATGATACCTTTCAGAATTATCTTTTAGTTTTTATTATGGCATCTGAGGATACAGAATTTAAGATGCAAGCAAGACACTGACCCAGGAGTACCCTAACATTCTGAGTGAATATGGATTCTTTCTTACATGTAAATCCATCATGTATTAGAATCTGAAGGAAAATTTCTAAGTGGAGAGTCTTTCACCACACTCTCCACCACCGCCAGTCCATTTTGTTGCTAAATCAGTGCACTGGATGGGAGCAATCAGTGCTCTCTGACCACACTCCTTTGAATTGTCTGACCTTTCAAGGAAATTGTGCTTTTAAAGCATTTCTGCCTTGGCTCCCAAACCCACCAGTTTAAGAGTGATCTAATATAACTGAAATGTACAGCTAGAATGTTATGTAGCTGTTAGTATGGTAACTTGAACTCAAATGGTACAGAGAGTTTTGTTTTGACTTAGTTGTTTTGATGTATTTTTCAAAGCATCCATCAGAATGGGTTGAAGAGCATGCCATTTACTTCCTGTGAAAGTTTTTTGTGTGAAAGACTGATGTCTCATCCTACAGATTTTCTTCCTCCTTGCACATAATTGGGCTTGTTGTCATTGGAAAGTTGTGTTGGATTAAAATGTTATCTCAAAGCCTGCTAATGTTGAATCTGACTCCATGAGCAGCCTAGACTAGGGTGAATGGTGTTGCCGTGTTGTCTGCACAGAAATAAACCGTATATGAACCTCACAAGGACTGTCTGTGACTGCCAGGTACTGTGCTGAATGGCACACGGTCTTTCATGTTGTCCACTGATTATAACTGTACTGGAGTTTGAGTGCTGTGCTTCTCTGAAAGCCTGGGGTAGGCAACATTCTTGTTCTTTTGAATGAATGACAGTATGCATTCAAACTAAATTTCTGAGCAGTCCTTAAAAGTTGTTATACTTGCAGATTTGTTTAACTCTGTTCGGCTCTGGCAATAAATAATATTCCCTGTTCAGTAAAGAAGAGATTGCAAAAATATTTTTGTCTCTTATAGTTTCTTTTAATCTTTTTTAGAAATCCATGTTTCAGTGATTCTGCAGCTGACACTTGATAGAAGGGAAATACCCCAGGTGGTATAGGAGTGCAATGTCTTTATTCCTGATTTTTGTCTTCTCTTTGATATGTATCACAGACACCATTTTTCTGCCTTTTTAGAAATTAGGATACTGTCTTTAAACAAGATGCAAATAATGGATTTTAAATACCAGTGGCTTACATACCAAGTATCATATTAGAGTTAAGGCAAGGAATGCAAATACAGGATAATAAAATCTATAGTTCAGCATAACAAAAGCATAGATTAAAATAAGTGCTGATGTTATTGATCAGTCCACTGTTCGACCTTCCAGTTTCAGTAGTGTTCTTGTAGATGATGGTGAGCATACTGTTAAGAGATCTGTATCCTTGTTTGTTATGATTTTGGTGTAGATACTGAGGTGTGTGATTCATCACCACCCATGCTATTGCAGGGAAGTTCAGATGAGATGTGCGAGACTGCTTAGCTGGCGCAAGTTTGTCTCTTTTGCACTTCTCTTGCTCATTTTCCTTATGTAAGCAGAAAAGTAGGGTCCAAGGTAAGGAAAGCCTTTCTGAAAGATTGTATAGGGAAAGCTTCAGTTTCGCAATACAAATGTCATATTTTTCTCAATCTCACCTGCTCTTAAGTACTATTTGTACGGGTCAGATAATGCTTCAGGTATATTTTTGTTGAATTGTCTATAGAGGAAGTTCTGTGCCTTCGGTTTGCTTTACCATTAGGAATGAGAAAACAGCCTGTAAGAGTTTTAGAGTAGAAGTGCTTTTGTTGATGGATTAAAAAATGGTATTTTTTATGTGTTTTGTGAATTAAAAAATGTCTATGAAAAGTATTTGTTGATTTTCCCATTGCAGCTGCTAACCTTTTGTCCTTGTAAATAATACTGCACTAGGAGAGTAGGAACGAATCGATGTGCCTAAACGTTGTGTCATTTTAGGCACTGTGGTTAACTCTTGTCCAGTGTCTCTGTGCTGCTTCACAGTGGGTACAGTTCTCCCTGGAGGTTTGTCTATCATCTGCCTGATCAGCGTCAGTCTCTGGGCTTGCCTAGGGCAGCAAGTGGGACTGTGTTCCCTGGCATAGATGCTTGAATCTACCCTAAGTTGAGTGTTTGTGGGTTTTGTGATTGTACAAGCAGTGATGTATTTAAGGTACTTTGTTTCAAGCTGTCTGGATTTCAGGCCAGGTGATACAATAAATCCTAGCTTCTTTCTCAGTTCCTCTGTGAATTTGTATCTATTACTTTTCAGTTGCTTTTCAGCTGTCCTAGTTTTATGCAGTTGGCCTGAGAGGCAGAGCAGTCCTGTTCAGAAGTAAATTGTCTTTGCTCCGAGATACAGTTGTTTTATCTGGTACAGTGACGTCAGGAACAGGGGCATGTGTGAGGAGGATTTAAAGTCAAGGAAGTAGAATCAGTGCCATGTTCACCTATCATAGGAATATGAAAAGCAAGTTAGAGTGGGAGGAGGTGGCAGGCCTTCATGTCTGTGTTTTCCTGGAGGTAATTGACTGACTGGAAAGTAACGGAGTGACTGGAAAGTAGTGGAGCAGTAGGTTGAATCTGTATGTGTCGCTGGTGCTGAGAAAGTGAGGACAAAATGGAAAACAGAGCAGGTTGGTGAAGTGGGAAGAGATGTGTGTAATCTCTCCTTAGGACTTCTGTTATGCTGCTGCTCTTGGTGGTCTGCACTTACTGGCAATCGAAAGTTGGTTGTGACATGAACAATCATTGTAGTGTTCTAAAGTTGCACTAATTTTGTTACTAATTCCTGAGTCACGCTTTTTGAAATAGTAGATATGTTACTGTATTTCATGCAGCAAATTAGTTTGTCTAAATTAATAGGGAAGATTAGACTTTCAAACATACCAGGATATCTGGAGTACAAATTACGCAGTCTGTGAAGAATCAAAAGCCATGCGCCAAAAACATCGCATGTAAACCATTATTCTGATGTGTTCTTCTGTAACAGTGCTTTCTGATCCACTTTCTGCTAGTCTTATAAATAATATTCATTATGAAGTAATAGTTCCATAAAAAGGAATCATTTTCTAATCTGTGTTTTTCTTTCAGGGCAATTAAAGCATTTCAGGAGGCGCTTTATGTTGATCCCAGCTTTTGTCGAGCCAAGGAAATTCATTTGCGGCTTGGGCTTATGTTCAAAGTGAACACAGACTATGAGTCTAGTTTAAAGGTAGGTCTAAGAGCTTTCAAACTGAATTAATGTTCGTTACAAGTTGTGTCGCATCTTGGAATGCATGAGCATATAGCAAATAATACCTGCTTCAGAAATACAAGTGTGTTAAGAGCTAGAAATACTCAGAAAAGCCCAGCAAAATTATAGATGGATACTGATACTCCAGTAGATCAAGTGTTTGGTGTAGGATTCTTGTTAAAATAGTACATCTTTGGGGGAGACTGGGGAAAGTTGGAGGACAAATAAAAGAAGAATTAGCAGCTTGGATTTCTTGATATTTTTTTTCCTCCTCTAGCTGTCCTATCATAAACAGGAAGTTCTTAAAGATTATTTAAAATAGAAAGCTTTTATTCAAAATAATGTTTGCATATCAATTTTTTTGTGTAATTTCTACTTTTCTAGTAGTTAATCTTTCTTTTATTTCCCGGTTTGAGAGTCAGCTTCTAAGGCAACAATTTTTGGCTAATCAGTTAGAAATGGTTTGTGTTAATACAATACTTTGTTTCTCCTGTACTCTTTTAAACTTTTTTACTGCTTTTTTATGTCTCCAATTGTAATCTGACATTTTATCTCCTTCCATTCAACATGCTTGCCCCTTTCTTTTTTGCTCCTTGCATTTCTTACTCTATCCCCATGTTCCTTCCTTCCTGACCTCTAAATTTAGATATGTGTATCTTGGAAAAAGGAAGCGTTCTTTAACAGAGTTTCTTATGGTGGGAAATATACCTGCAGGGCTAAGAATTTTGTCATTTGTAATTATTTGTAATTTATAAATGTATTTCTGCTTATTAATCCCTCCTGAAACTAGATTTTTTTAAATTGACATCCTTCTCCTAGCAGATTGTTTCTTGGAAGTCATATTTATGAGGTTATCAGAATCGCATTGTCCTAGATTTTAAAGAGTAGGGTGACACTCTCCACTTTTTTGCTTTCATTGTTTGTAGTAATTGGAAGCACTTCTCTCATAAGGCTTCCTTCTCTTCATCCAGAGTCTGAGCTTTCACTCAGAGAAGGTGTAGTTAGAATTTGTGGTTAGAGGATATTGCATAGAGTAGAAAAGATTCAGTGCAATAAAAGACAAAAGAGAGCAAGGGAAGGTAGAGATGGATCGCTTGCATTGGGGAAAGACTTACGTGCAAGTTTGATCCTGTTTTCTTGTACTTTGGCACTGATTTAGTACTGGCTATGTTAGGGAATAAAACAAGTGCTGGAGAAGTACATTTTGGGTTTGGCTTTGAAGAAGTCAGGGTTACAAAAGAGTAAATTTACAAGGCAATAGTAAACTTGTAATCAATTAGTGGAAGGAACTTCTCTATTTTAATCTTTGGTAGAAGAAATAGATCAAGAAATAAAGAACCTTTTCCTGCTGTGCCATGAAATACATAATTCTGTCACTGAATCCTCATAATATCTATTTAAATACTTGTTTCAATCTGAATAATTTACTGTGTTTGATCTTCACAACTTTTCAAAACCGAAAGGTCACTTTCAGTTTCTGGTATGCCAACGATGAATGGGGAAAACACAAAAGAAGTTATTTTAAAAACAGAAAGAAATTAATCTTTTGTAGTGCAAAATTATGATTCCATTGCTTCTATTACGTGCAATGTGATTAAGTCACTTAAGAAAACAAATAGCAGCAACAAAAATAGCCTTCCATGGAGCAGAGTGAGGATCTTCAAAAGGGTGGTGAAGTAATCATGGGGAGCTACGGGTGAGTGTTGCATTAAGCATAGTTTCACAATGTCCTCACAGCAGTCTAACTGCAGGTTGTTGCTAAAAGGTTGTCTCATTTTCGACCTTACTATTACAGTTGCATTGTTCAGCAGCCTCTGCTGCTTTGAATCAAGTGATTTTTTATTTCCATTTGCAGACTTGAAGTGGATAAGAAGTCTAAACCAAGTCAACTTGAGATTGTCCAGTTGCTAGATCCAATGCAAGGTAGATAAGCAGGAGTGCGTGAATGGGAAGGAGAGGGTAGAGCTCTCTTGTACCCTTCTGGTGCAAAACGTAACATAAAACTATAATCTGGAATTATCAATGGAAACTGAAAGCCAAGGCAGTTTAAGTTCAGCTCAGCTGTGGATTTAATCTAGAGTCCTGAGACTGATCTGTTTTGTTTGAAATCAGAATGTTACTGATTGAAACATACCAGAGTATATCACTTGAGGAGCAAACTAAGTAGAACAAGCAGAGTAGTAGCCAATCTGAATGATCCCTGAGTTGAGGTTTCAAAAAAACCCTTAAGCCAGAATTTTGTGAGTCACAAGAATGAGAGGCAAGTCAAAAAACACTTCCTTAGTGAAGAGAGCAAAAGAAACTGCTGGTGCAGTGGTTTTGCACAAGCATGGGGAGAAGAAAATGAGGAAGAGATAAGACAAAAGAGTGCTAAAGGATGTTTTTGTGGAATGTCTGTCTCGTTCTCTGGGACAGAGTATCTTCTCTTTTCACAAAAAGGTATGTAACCCAAAGTAATGAAGAGACAGGGTTGTCTTGTTCTGTCGGTTTTGGTTTTGTTGGGTTTTTTTTTGACTTTTTTAAAAAGATCCTGGATTTTAAAGGATATAGCCTGCTAGTAACTGGCCTTGAGCACAGACCCTTTCCCTGGGGCTCTGTATAAAGTAAAACCACAGCCCAGCGTTACTCCCTGTTTGACATTGAGGCAGAAAGTAAAAGTAAGTTTTCATCCACTATTCACTTGTGACTGTTCCGAATTTCACAGATTGGACCAACGTTGCATTAATGTACTCTAAAATATCATTATGTTTTTGATGGTATTTAAACATTCATGTTAAGTCTGTAATTGCTAAGAATAAACCATTGCCAACAGATGAGTCATTGGCAGTAAGTCTTCAGGCAAAGGGGGGAGATGGGAGTCTGAAGGTCAAATATTCCGTGTTTTTCACAATTTTAGAGCATTAACATAAATCATCTATATTTTATGTAAGCAATTTAAGTGCAAAATTAATTTTTACTATTTTAAGATGTTGATGATCAAGGTAATTACCAGAGTGCTGTTTAACAAGCATAAAATCAACTCAGTGTTTTTTCAAAATCAGTTACTGCTTTTGCATGTTTTTAACATTGCTGCAGTTAAGACTTGCAAATTGCTGTGAGAACCATTGACTGCTCAGTTATCCCATTGCCATAAACTCTGGCAAGAACACCAGAGCTGTTGAAAATTACTTGGCCTTCAGTCTTCCATTAAGGAAAAAAATAAAAGAAAAAAGTGGCCTTTCTGGTTGAAAGAAAACAGCCCTTGTGTAACCAGACAGTTAGGGCAGTGTTACCTTCACAAGTGATACATGAAAACTGAATTTGCCCATTCATCAGGAAATTCAACTTAATTCCAAAATCAACTGTGAGTGACTTAGGGGGGTGGTATTATTGATTACTATAGCAGTTAGTTTAACGGTTGGACTCAATGATCTTAAGGTTCTTTTCCAATCTAAATTAGTCTATGGTTATATTAAGGTTTACTTCACAGCCCTAGCCTTTTCACACTTCACTGAGTGTTCGGTTGCCCCCGTCTTATTTACCATTTCCTACAAATGACACTGATACTGTATTCAGTGACCTTAGCTGCAGTTGAACCATGATAACCTCAGAGGAGAATAAAACAGGATCTGTGGGAACATAATATATCTTTTTATTGGTTTGATAAATATAGAGGAAAAAAATGTTGAAGCTTCTGAGTACATGCCACATTATTTCTGGCATATCACTGGCTATCTTAGTAATTTTCCCATTTATCGATATTTTTTTTTTCAGTTTTAGCCTCCTTTTCTCATATGTGTTTGTAATCAACCTGTCTTGCACGTGTCTCAGGATTTAAGTTATTTTGAAACTTAACCAATTTCTAACAGATAAGTCAGAATGAAAGGGATTTCAAAGAGAAATTCCTCGAAAGTTCCTATGCAGCATACTGCCCCAGAGCCATTCGAGGTCTGCAAGCTGAGGACCAAGTGATCTGCATAGCTTGAACTACAACAGAGGCACCAGATGAGTGGTCATGGGTCTGGTCTGTTGGGATATGAACCTACAAAGGGAGTTGTCTCATCCATACAGGAGTTGCTGTGAATCGGGAAGCCCCAGTGCCTCTTGTCCACCCAGAAGCTGAACACAGAACTAGGTGGAGCGGGAAGGGGGAGCTGGGTGCAATGTGCGGGACTACTCACATGCATAAAAGAGAAGCCAAGGAAAAAAAGTAAAATTACAGCTTTGGTATTACTTAATTTAATAATTGGATTACACTGGAAACAGCAGCTATGGGAAACAAGTCTTCCATCTGGTGCTCATTCTGCTTGGTGGCGCTGAAGTATTGTAGTGTGCTTTCCAGTGGGGAGTCAGGGCTATGATTGTGAAAACTCTTTAAATGTAAAATTCAGTTCACTTCCACTGGTTGCTAACAGGCCACTTATGGGAAAAAAGAAATCTTAGGGTTTTGTATTTATTAGAATAATAACATTGAGGGAACAGTGGCTGGGTGGGAGATTTTTCTGTGGGTTTGGTTTCGTGAGGAGGGGGTATTTTGTTTACTGTTGTTTAGGGTCTTTTGGTAGTGGATTGTTTGGTTCTTTGAGTTTAGGGGTTTTGTTCCGTTTCATTTTTTTAATGGGTAGTCAGTAGAGACTGGACACGAACGGGTTATTTTATGCCAAACCAAGCTGTGTTGCGCTTTGGTAATTTTGTTTGGTTTTAAGAATTGCAGTGGATCCTGTACCCAGCAACAAAACCCTTAGAAGAATGAGAACTAAATTTCTCATGTTTTCAATTGTCTGCCTTTTAGTAGAAATACTCATTCTGCCTTTCACTTTCAGACATTTTTCCTCCTTATCTATACACAAAACAGCTATCCTAGCAGTTTGCTTCAGGCTTCTGCTTTGATCTTGCCTGTAAATCATCAATTTGAATAGAATTTTAATTTTTTACTTATTTTCCTAAAGATTCTCATTTGTTAGTAATGTTAAGACATACTGCTTATATTAGGATGAGAA